TGTGATTTCATAAATCCTGAGCTTATTTTGTCTGTAAACAGACTCTTCAATGAGAGCGTAAATCATTGGCGTTTTGTCGGATTCAAGAGTGAAAAATCCGATGACTTTTCCGTTGAGAACGGCTTTCCTTTCATTCCAATACTTAATATCGAAGTTATGCTCAAAAGGAAACAAAAATCTCCATTTGGTGTCTGAGACATAATAGAGAGCCCGTAAGTGCATAGGGTTTGTGAGCCAATACAGGTATGACTGAGACTTCCAATAGGAAGCGCCAATAGCTGTGATCGACTGATTGCTGGGGATTATCGTTGACACCGAACCAAATGTAATGGCAATAAAGCTCTTACCTATAAATCGAGAGGTATTAGTGATCGGAAGCAATGATTTTACGCCCAAATCTATTCTCATTGAAAACATTGCAAATATGTTTTGTCCCAACATTTGGTATTTTTGGTGACTTTTGCCGTGAAATACCACTTCATATGTTTCCGATCCGTTTCTCACTTTTGAGGCAAAATCGTAGTCCACTGTATATCCGACGACACGTTCTCTCGTGTCTAACGGTAAGAATAAATGATTATTTTAATTGAAATTTAATTAAGAATAATTACTGAAATAATAGGCCAATAGTTGTGTGATATCCATATCTAAATCAAATTGTTTTCTTGTTTTGTCGTAAACATAGAAATATAGATCCTTTTGATGGTATAACTTGAGACCGATATTGAAAACACTGTGCCTTTCATTGGATTCAATCTTTTCATTACAAACACCTTTTCTACGATTACTGACTGAAAGATAGATATATCTGTGCGGACACGCGAACAGGTCTTTCAATTTTTCAGAAGAGGGCTATAAAAATGTTTGAAATAAATTGTACAAAAGTCTTCACATCTATTATATCCAAACTTACAGTAATATAATACTTCGTATTTTTAATGGACATATCATATAACGTTCCGTCGTCTTCTTTCCCGTATCCATAAATTTTTCCGTTTTTATAAAACAAAGATTTAAACCGAAGTATAATAAAGTCTTGCGTCTGATTAACGGAGATTTGAGATGAGGTGGATTCAAAAGCCCAAACCACTCGATGTAATTTAATTTTATGATGTGTTGTAGATTTCGTTATAATAATTACATCGTTCACTGCAGAGGACGGGTTGGACACCGCGGACACAACTGTATAGTCCGTGTCGACAGTGAGCCTAAACACTGCCGAACACATATTGTCTTCTTGTTTGGGATGAATACCAGTTGTTGAGTATCGATAGGATTTGATTTGTGAGTGAACTCCGGACGCATTCAGCGACGGTTTAAATCCATAAATGCAAAGATGATAATGAAATGGTGAGCTCTGACTTCTTGTTTGGGATGAATACCAGTTGTTGAGTATCGATAGGATTTGATTTGTGAGTGAACTCCGGACGCATTCAGCGACGGTTTAAATCCATAAATGCAAAGATGATAATGAAATGGTGAGCTCTGGAAGAATGAATTACATGTTTTGTCATCTGTAGAGCACTCGTCACTATAGAGTGGTTTGTATGTAAAGCCATGAATGGGTTGATATGTGTCTGTTATAAATATGTGAAACGATATTAATTAATAATGAGTTAAACTATTTATTAATATGTAATTTCAAACCAAAGCCATCCCTTAATAACAAATCCGTGAAATGAGATTCAAAACTCAAATTAATGAGTGAATCGTCTGTTAAGTTGTGATTTGATTGTCGTGTGAATCCCATTAAATTCATTCGCCAAAAGATACCGTCTTTTTTGAAATAATAGTCAAATCCCAGACTGAAAACTGAATCATACTTTTGTTTCACCGAACAAAACACGTGTGGATTGAAAGGCACGGCCTCTTCGAGACATCGGAAAACATGTTTGAGTTGTAATTTCTATCAAATATTAATATTTATGCAATCAAATGTTTTGATTTATAAAACATATCAATAAACTAACGGATGCGCGAAAAATATATTTGGAGGCCGTCTTCTCGTAAAAACCTTGCGATAAACTCGTATTAATGCCGGCTTTCATTGGGATTGCGATCAAACGGTTAATGTCTTGCAAACGGATGATGTGGTGAATTGTCTTCAAATAATCGGAAACATCGGTCAGAATGTGTGACGTGTCGGACAAAACCATTACATTTTCCGTCACCGACTTCTCAAACATAATGACAGTCCTCTCGTACTCCACTTCTATATGAGTTCCGTTACTATTCTTCACGAATGCATTGTATTTCATACGAAGATAACCACTAATTGGCAGTAAAATCGCATTTGTGGGCAAATTTCCAGAATGTTGCGCCTCTTTTAGCGGCACTTCGTATGCATTGTTACACATTTGCTTCAGTTGTGGGAACTCTAGGCTTCTTTTGTAAAAGATCTCGTTTGTCATCCGATTGTATTGAATGATTTTTAGGCCATAAACTGGATTAACATTAAAACAATTAATTTAATTGATTAATTTTCAATGTTTGTTCATAACCATTACCGGGTTGTGTGGCGCTTACGCCGGGAATTTGTGTGAATGTTGAATAAATGCATACAAAGTCCAGATACGGGTCTTTTCGTGTGTCAGTTATTTGATCGCAAAACGGTTTATCTGTAATATTGCCGGCAAAACACGACTCGTATGTGTTGTCGATGTCCAGCAAAACGGCCGCTATTTGTGAGTCAAGTCCAGATACGGGTCTTTTCGTGTGTCAGTTATTTGATCGCAAAACGGTTTATCTGTAATATTGCCGGCAAAACACGACTCGTATGTGTTGTCGATGTCCAGCAAAACGGCCGCTATTTGTGAGTCGATTTCTGTCGTCATATTATTAAATTTCAAAGTTTTATTAGTTTTTAGCATTTTGTTAACAAATGTAAATACATAGGAATCGTAAAAATGATTATCTAATTGAATACAAACCCCAATACATGTCGGTTGCCATATAGTGGAGGATATGTGAAGACTGGTGGGCAGTCTTATAGCTCGGCATAACGTATGGCTGGTTTGGGTCTCTAATAATAGTCTCATTTATTTTCCACAATTGTCTGACTGTTTGTCCATTTGTGGGATCATTTGTATTGATATGAAAAAACATGTCGTTATTTAACTGAAAAACACTAATCATATTCAGTGTACGACATAAGCCATGTTGTGACGAGTGTTGGCCACAAATCACTTGCAAATAAATCACCGAAACTAATGTTTGGATTAAAAAGGATTTCATTTTAAGCTCTGATATTTGGATAACTTCTTAAATAATGAGATTTGATATACGGTTTGAATTTGACGTATCGTTAATTAAATCAATCAATAATTCTATTGTTATTGCAATCAAACAATTTATACTGACTTTAATAATACAATCGCGTTATTATTAAATGCACTTATTTTTTAAACACACTCAGAAATGAATTACAATTTTTAATTGTTATGAATATTATTGTTTATACCGTAACAGCAATTAAACAATTTATTGCCAAAAATAGTCTAATAAATACTAACTGTAAGTATTGGTCATCGCATTTACAGTTTAACATTACTGTTTGAACTTTGAAAGTTTTAATTGAAAGTAACATAACTTTTGTTATTAAATAATTAATAAAATTAAGGATTTTTGTCACTGCATAGAAGGCGCCGACTAACTAACCATTCAATTTAAATTATTAATTATATTTAAATAAAATATTTAATTTATTATGCAGTGAAAAATGATAATTCCTAGGAATGTTGCCATTTATCAACAATATAATGCTTTATGACTAGAATTATTGACTAGAAATTTAACCATAATTCGGGTGTTTGTGGTCATTTGACACGATCTGTCACCGGAATACTCATCTTATGACCATATGGCCGAAAGTATCGAGATGAGGATTATCACAAGAGGTAATGTTCCTAATTTTAAAAAAATAATAAGATTAAAAACATTATAACATTCAACTAAAATCTTAAATATCTGTCATGTCTTATAAAAATTTTAAAAACCATTTGAGAATACTGTTTTAACAGTCCAGCAAATTATTCCGTCTTCTTCTACCGAACTAGTTTACATTTACTAAATACATTTTTTTGCATAAACTTTTTTTGCAAACATTTGTACTTTAGTGACACAAACCGTTGATATAGTAGTTTAAACGTATGAAATGATAATTATATAAATCTATTAAAAGTTTTTAATACAACTGAAGTTTGATTTATATAATGTATTAATAATTAATTATAATCTGAGTGCTCACTATTATACGTTACGATATATTAGGGCACAGTTTAGATTACATTACAATACATGATAATACCCAGTTTGCCCCCATGTATACATTATTATAGTGTATTGTAATGTAAGCTGAACTTTGCCCTAATATTGATATATCGGTAACCTATTGTGAATATTCTCAAATCACTTGTTAGAGTTACTGTGATTATAAGTATTTTTAACCAAAAAATAATTTATTTAATAATGAATATATTTACAATAGTTTACATATACAATTGTATACTGTTTAATTGATATTATGAGAGATGTATTTGTACTTTTGTATAATTTCTGTGTTATGTCTGTTTTAGATATAATATGTTATTTAATCAGATATTATTTTTAACGAGAAACTGTTACTTTGTACCTAAATTATTTTTAATTAATTATCATTTCAAGAGAAATACGCAGCATGGTTAATTATAAAGCATGTGCATCATGAAAAAGCGATGTTCAATAACCGTACTCGTACAATATGTACATTAAGTACATAATCATGATCATTGATTTAGTTTCATTAACATCTGCTGATTAAAATAATTATGAATTAGTTTAGTAAATGGTAATAGTTTTTAATTTACATTTAGTTTACAATTTCAATTTAATTTTAATTATGGAACACTTTGCACCATGGACCAAAAAATTATCATATAATTCTAAACAATCAAACAATTTGTGGCATAATTTAAGAAATTGATGCAAAAACAAAATTAAAAGTTATTTTTGTTTAATAAACACATATAAGGAATGTAATAGAATTAAGAGAACAATTATGTAAAATTTAAGTATGCAATACCACCACAATATAAATAGCCTATAATTTGATATACAGAATAGAAATATGGCTAAATTACGGTTAAAATTATTATAATTTAAGCTTGTTAAATATTATTCTGTACAAAAATAACATAAATCATACAATAATTATTTTAAATTATTTAATTATCTTAACTTATTTTATTAATTTGATTAAAATATACAATTTTTATTAAATAAATTCCTGGGTTCTCGAGAACTCTCAAAATCTTATTCAATTATGTTATAATAAACAGGTTTAAATAATTGATGGTTTTTAAATAATAAAGCACATGCTATGTATAATATATTCTCTGAAAATGTACATGCTTAGACATTTTAAAAGGTCCGTAATAAATTAAATAATGAGCAAATATGACCATAACATGTGTTTTGGTTAAAAGTGTTTCGTAATCTCAATAGTATATAATCTGAGAATTCTCTGAAAATGTACATGCTTAGACATTTTAAAAGGTCCGTAATAAATTAAATAATGAGCAAATATGACCATAACATGTGTTTTGGTTAAAAGTGTTTCGTAATCTCAATAGTATATAATCTGAGAATATTTGCATTCAATTCATTAATAACTTTTATGATTCAGAATAAGAAGTTTTAACCATAAAAATCTAAAATGTTTATTAAAGCATTGGTTTTGGGATCCGTTGTCTGTTTGGGTAAGAAATATATGCAATAATTATGTTAAACACTATAACTTAAATCAAACCATTATTTTGTGCCAATAAATAGCATTTTGCGTTGAGTTGAATCGCACGCCTTACGACACGTTTGATATATGTGCAAACAATGACCCGGCTAAAATTAACGCACTACAGGGCCAACTCATCAAAGACCTGCTCGCATACCTGCCAGCTCTGGGCAAAGATGGTAAACTCGGTCCCCTAAAGGTCCTCAACTTCATCCGCAAAAACATCAAAGAAATGGACGAAAATATGATGAATTACGCGGACGAACAGGAAAGCAAAGGCACGCCCGTCATCGCCGAGGTTTGCCGAGATATTCATTGGTATGTCTATAACATTGGATTCACTCGAGCGATGGCTGAGGCGCCGTTCATAAGCAACTCGACTGATAAGCCGCTAGCGATCGGCAAATTCGCCGCCACTTCCGAAGTAATCAATTGGAGAACCAAATTAGACGCTAAACTCCGCAAATGCCAGCCGACCGACGCCAAGGATGTGGCCACCGGTGCCGCCGAATGGAAGGCTGAAACCGATCAGGTTGTGGCCGTTCTCGACGACCTGATCCCTAAACTGCATCAACTGGGCTCTGAATATTGGGCCAAACAACACGAGAGGGTATAACACTTTACATGAATAGCGCAATATATAAAGAACTAATTTAAATTGATTTAATTTGAAACATAGATGAGAGCCTTCATTGTTAACGGCATTCCTAAGATTAACGCAAAAGTTGCGGCAGTTGTGGACCCAAACTTGAAGGCCGAAGTGTACCACCAATTGGTTTTGAATTTGCATTTGTTAAACACCGTCGCCTCGAGCCGACCCCCGCAATAAACGCACAACAGTTTTGACTTAATGACAATTATGAGGCAATTACTTTTAAAAGTGTTCATAATTAATATTAGTATAAATTGAATTTGCATTTGTTAAACACCGTCGCCTCGAGCCGACCCCCGCAATAAACGCACAACAGTTTTGACTTAATGACAATTATGAGGCAATTACTTTTAAAAGTGTTCATAATTAATATTAGTATAAATATGAGTATCTCTGCGAAATAATTGTCCATTTCGTATGTAATTATGTCATAATAAACATAAATACAAACATTAAACGTTAAAATTAATAAAATATATTTTTGGCAAATTTAATTTTTAATAAATATAAAATAAGCAAAAGTAATGAAAATCATATATTTTCTATCATGTTTGATCATAATTTGAATGGTATAGAATTATATCCTTTGTTCATATTAATATGTATTGAATGTACGACAAGTAGAGTTTCTAATGCTCTAGTTCTAATGCTTTGCCTTAAATACAATGTATCTGTATACTCTGTATAGATAATATACTCTGTATCTAGATTTACCAGGCACAAAAAAATGCTATTATAAATTAGACGTGATTATTGAATCATCAAGTTAATTTTTAAACTATTGTTCACTATAAACGTTACAATGCTTTTAGTCATTTGGTGCCCCATTTTTAACAATAAATAGTAAACATTAATACTTGTAATGTTCAAAGTTTGAATTTCAAACCCCATTCACAATGATTGTTAACTTTATATATGAATAATATAGTAATAGTACAGAAATGACCTTTTCGATTATAAATGCTATGTGTACGCTGGTGCACTTTTTGGAATTACTAGGAGACATATGATTGCCAATGGCAGGCGATAACAGTACTATTACTATGAGCGTTGATAAAACAGCCAAATCTTATTCCATTCTAAATTTCATATTTTTCCAATTTATAACATAAATAATATTTTATCTTATTTAATTACAGTATTATAAACATGTCATCAAAGATTTATTTAACACAATAATTTGGTATATTTTTGACAAGTTATTTCTAAATTAGTTAATTTGAAAGGCACCGTTATTTAAGCACGTTCATGTTATTAATTAGAATTAAATACTATATTTATTAGTGCTGTTTCAGTTCTCTCTCTCTCTCTCTCTCTCTCTCTCTCTCTCTCTCTCTCTCTCACACACACAATAATAAAATTTATAAAAATATAATATACTGATTGAATGTTAGCAAGTTTTGTTTGGTCAAACAATTTTCCTATTTTATTGCTCCTGTTTGCATATGAGTTTAAGACCTGTATTTCATACATGTACTGTAAATTATATTAACTGTTAGTTGTATTCAAATAAATTATTATTTGACATCCAAAAAATCCATAAATATCATCAAAACAAATAAATAGATGTTATGTTCTTCCGTCCATTTAAGATCTATTCTATAACTTTTGGATTTTAAAGCCACTCTTGAGGTCACATCCATTTACCGGGTTTATGTACAAAAGTGTGTATAAAAATGCTGTAAATCTAACTTATATTGGGTAATACTGTACATGCTATTTTTTAATCTGAAAATAACTGTGCTACTAACTGCCGATAACTATTCTTCTTTTTTATTCAATAATTTATTAATACTGTATATGAGAAGACAATTGTATTTATAACATACAATATACTAATAACTTATCTATATATTATAGTGTATAACATATTTAATAAAAATTTCCATTCTAATACACTTCTAATGTACTTCTAAAAAATATTCTAATAAATCAAAGTATAACATTGAAAAGTAATAATTAATTTTTAAAAAATGTTATGAATTATAACTTATGATTTACAATAAATGGAAATCTGGGCCCAAGAATCCACAAATTCTTATGCAATTGTGTTATAATTGAAAACACAATTATTAATCAAAACTATAAAACACATGTTTGTATGACAATTGTAAATGTACTTGATTATGACCTTAATATACCACTTTATGGATTTTAAATAAATCATTGGTGGTTTTATTTTCCAACATGGTGGTCATCATTTCCATAATTCTCAAATGGCCACAATTGGGCAGTAAATACTGGACTAAACAGTATTACATACAATAAAGTGCATTACATTTACTACACAATCACTTCAAATAGTGTACGTTTAACGCGTTGTCTAACTTAAATACCTTAATTAAATGATAACTAAGATAGGTTAATTTAAAAATGTGTGTTTAAGTTACACGCATTAAATTAATTTGCTAGTACAATTTTGTAATTTGTTACGTTAGGATGAACTCCACTTACCCCACAAAAAACTTAAAATTCATACTAAATAATGACCTATAGCAAAGAATATAATTGTTATATTCTATGTATTACAGAATTAATTCCCTATTAATGTTTGTAATACAAAATTATAATATTAATAATGCAAATTTTATATTAGTTATTAACTATACTGTATAGCTAAAAATTAAGTATTATGATTAAATTTTGAAAATCTTTACAGGGAGACGTAAAGTTACTGATAATTAATAATGTGATTATTAGTAAAACGAATTATGAGTTATAATAAATAAAATCTGGGTTTTGTTAAATTCAAAAATTCTTATGCAATTGTTATAATAAATAGATAGTTATTAATTTCAGTAGATAATAAAGTACATGTATTGTATGGTTAGTTTAACTATACTTGGTCATACTTTCTAGACTTCAAAAAATTAATCATGTTTAAATTTATTGCCTAACTAAAAATGACAGTAAATCATGATCAGACACGACCAGATGTGTCTAGGTTATTATTTCGTAATTCTAAGGGTATATAATCTCGCGATTTTCTCTGAATTCAATATCAACTTTTATGATTCAGAATAAGAAGTTTTAACCATAAATATCCAAATATGTTTAATCGTAACCAAAACCATAGGTAACAGACAAACCCATTCTTTATATAAGTTAGTACAATTTGTAATATTTGATTTACTTTATTAACAACGGATTTATCGTAGTACGCAACTCAACCTAGCACGGTTCATTCTGAACTACGATGTGTGCGCTCACCCCGACTCGGCGTCCATCAGCCCAGTCCAGGCCGCGTACATCAAAGACATCGTCGCATACCTCACCGCCAAAGGCCAGGAGACCGGCGGTTCCCTAAAGATCCTCGACTTTATCTATCAAAACATCAAAGAAATGGCCGACAATATGAAAGCGTCGGGCGATGCTCTCCGCAGCTTGAATTTCCCCGTCATTCCCGACGTTTACGACGACATCTACAACAATGTCTACGGCCTGAAAGGGTTCAAGAAAGCGATGGCTGAGATCCCGTTCATCGCGTCGGCCGAGAAGCAGGCGGCGGTTGGCAAGTTTGCCGGCACTTCGGAGATCATCAATTGGAGGACCAAATTAGACGCCAAGAGACGCAGCTGTTTGCCCACCAAATCCGCAGGTGTGGCCGGAGGTCAGGCCGCCTGGAAGGTTGAGACCGACAAAGTTGTGGCCACACTCAAGACACTTATCCCCCAATTGAAAGCCGCCGGAAGCAACTACTGGGCCACTCAGCACCAGAGAGTACATTGCTTAACACCAATATTGTTTATATTAATAACTAATTTTAATTAATTGATTTGATAGATGTTGGACTACATCGTGGCCGGTATTCCCCAGATTAACGCGTGGGTCGCCGCTGTTGGAGACCAGGACAAGAAGGGAAGAGCGTTGACCAGATTGGCTGAGGACTTGAATTTGCTGAACACCGTCGCCTCCACCCGATAAATGGTCACAGTTTTGACTTAATGACAATTATTGTCAGACATCAGCACTGATCTTATAAATTGAGTTTAAAAATTAATTTTTTGATGTAAACCTTTCTAATAAAGTACTGAACATTGATTATTAATTACAAGTTATTTCATAATTATTATTTGAATAAAATCTGTTTAATATTAATTGTTTTGTTTTGATCACAAATTTGTGTGATTTATGGAATAAACGAAAAAGATTTCTATGGTATAATTTTAAACAAAACACATTTGATTAGCCGGTTATTAATTACAATTGCAATAACTAATATGAAATGATAACTATTTTGTCATGGTATTAACTAGTTTATGCATATTGATAGTTACATAAATATGTTTGAAATAAATGTATGCAATTAATGATTAGTAAAACAATATCTATTAACTTATATTACTTATTTATTAGTTGAGTATTTTTACAAACTTTAAATAATTTAAAATAATTATAAATTATAGATTTTCGTTGAAAGCGTCGGTATATTCTAACTTAATGTTATTTAATGGACATTTCTCCTCATAATGTACACTATATGTAAATAAAATCGTTTTGTCGTACAAATTGAGTCCACTATTCATTCATTGAAGCCCCACCGTTCGCTTCAATATTAATGTATCATTTTATTTTAAAATATTTTATCCAAAACAGATTATTCGCGAAATATTATTAAGATAACATGTCACTTAATTATTTATACAATTTATTAATATTTGTATTATTTATTATAAAATCATAAATAACTTTAATTGGTTTTCTATATAGGATTTAATTGTTTTAATTAAAATTCATTGTAAATGTAATAATATTTTAGTTATTTTGTGTCAAATGAATTGCTAAACATTTTGAGGAAAATATTAAAACTAATGAACCAGTCGTTCACTAATAGAAATCAATTCATTTACATATTCTACAACAAAAAGCAAATTATCAAAAGTGTATTCAACAACTGTTAATAAAATAACACTAATTTTATGAATATTATTTATTTATTATAAGATTGAAAGGTTATCCAAACAATTATGATAAAATCTGTTTAACAGGTTTATATTACTATAATTATAATTAGTAATTATTAATTATTGTATATAATAACCCGTTTAAAAATTTAATGTATTCCACAAAATCTTAAATATTTTATAACTAAAATTCAATATATTATTTAAATATAAAACAATTGTCAATATTGTTTGACTCTATGGTATTTATGATAAGACATACAGATATAGCTATTAATAATGGTATGGCAAGCAGTGAACGGTCTCATGACCTCTATATCTGATTGCTATTATGTCACGGATTGTGACTTTAATTTATTTAATAATTTAATAATTAGTACACATTTCGCACAAACTATATAACCAGAAAGTGTGGGAGAAAGTGGCATAACTGTTATGTCATTACAGACACACAACACATACCACAACATTTGAACACAACATGCAGTGAATAAAATTGTTGCCAAATTATAGATAGTCTATCAATGATAATAAAAACGCTAACATATATTTTATTCGCCGCTAAGTTATATAAAAGTGAAAATACTGTTTGCAATTCATTCACATTTCACTCTCGCTTTCAATAAGTGAAAAAGTTATTACTTTTATATGTATTCAAACAAATAAAAGGAAATAGTATTTGTAAAATACTGCATAACATAATCGAAACAATAACTTTTTTGGCTATTATTTATTGTGTTGTTATATAACTGTTTGTGTATTAATATTAATGTCAACGCAAAAAAAGGATGAATGAAAGATGTGATTGTTTTCCGATAAGACTAACATTTCATTTGTATTCCTAATGTAAGGAAACGTGTAATTAATATATTCTCTCCTATACTTGCTATTGACTACATTTGATTGTGAACTACATTTATTTGTATTTTAATGTTTATTTGTTTTCATTAAGTTTTTAATTTACTGACGATTTTCATCATTATTATTATTATTTAATGTTATGTTGAAAAGTTTTTACGCTTTTTAATTTATTTTATTTATTATATGTTTATTATATTTAAGACGATTTAAAACGAAAGTGAAAAGTCTCGCAAAACTGATTTCTGTGTCAAATAGACTATAAATTGTTTAATGATTTAAATATATGTATAACTAATACAACAATTCGTTTTCCCATAAATAATAGCGATTTCAATATTTATAAAATCCATTTCCTTCTCATTTGTTACCTGAGATTGGATTTAAAGCATCGCTTTTGTCATTAAATTCAAACATTTATATATAATTTTGTTGTGAAAAATTACAGTTCTCTCAAATTTTCATTTACTTTTTCACAAATTATTTTGCTTTAAATTCAATTTGTTTTTGTGTTTTTTCCTCAAAAGTCATTTTCTCAAAAATTATATATTTTTTAGTTTTTTGTTTATTACACGAAAATTGTTGTTCACATGAATAGAGAGTGAAAAGTGAAAAGAGATTGACATTAATTTGAAAACTTATTTTTCCGATTTTAAGGAAAAATCATTTATTTTGAAACTAAATCTTCTAATCATTTCATATTTATTGTATCGCGAAATACATCTGCGAAACAAATTTTTCCTTAATATCCATCAAAAACATAACAACAGAGAATTTGTGATCATTTTTGTGACCAAAACACTTGTAATGGCAATGAATTCAGTGGAAGAGGCGGACAGTCGTCGCCGAGAAGTGCTAAACGGAGCCCAAAGACGATACCAGGAGTTAAAAACTAGTGGATATTTTGCGCCGGGTATTTGTGATGATTACGAGCTGAACAAAGTGCCAAGCTGGTTTGATCCAACCAGATATGAACGGTGTATTTATTTGGCGCGAAAATACTTTGTCAGGTATTTTTGAGTTTTATTTTTATGAATCATTAATCTTAAAAATGCATTTTAAATACATGTTAATAATTCTTAAATTTGCTTTAATAATTAATAAGTATTTATTTATTTATATATTTATTTATTATACTGTATTTATATAATTTATACAATTGCTTAAAATAGGCAAAAAATATTAATTATAATTTATAAATAACTAATTATTGTACAAATTATTTATTATTTTTCATTCATTCCTAATTATTTCTTAAATGTTACTTTAAATAAAATTAATTAATAAACAATATGTTAATTAATTATAAAATTAATATAAGGTACAAATGAAGCGGAAAATAATAATTGTTATATTTCTTTTAAAGCCTATACATCGCTCACTTTATTGGACTCTTAATGATTATCCAAATCCCGTCGGGTTTGGCACCACTTCTGGCGACCGGAAACTCGGAAACAGTGGCCAAACTGTTTCGCCGATACCTCTCGACACTAATCCATGTGAGGAATTGGTACGAAAGTAATCCTTTCGACACACAATCCGTTGCCTTTAAATCCATACAAAAAGTGCGAGCAATGCATAAAAGAGTGGCACAACTGATGAACACTCGGCCCAAAACGGACACAATTAAAGACAAACTATGGCTCAATCAATACGACTTTGCGATGACTCAGTGGGCTTTCATCGGACCCGTTATCCTCTATCCCGAAGAGTGTGGTCTACGGCCGGCCACCGCTCAAGACATCGACGATCTCTGCTATTTATGGCGTGTAATCGGCTATTGTATGGGAATTGAAGACAAGTATAACCTCTGTTCGGCTAATATAGAGGAGGATCGGGAGTTGTGCCGACTATTGTTTGACAGAGACTACAGGCCTGTACTCCACGATAACGCCATGACTGACACTATTGGTTGGCAAATGGGAAACGGTATCGCATTAGGGCTTCAAATGCTTAATCCATCGCTTAGTTTTGAGGCCATAATCAACTACTGGTACCCTAGACTGGAGATCCCACACAAGATTCAATTGAAAACATTTTTCCATAAATTCTCGTATTATTATTTGTGGTTTAATTTTCAGGTTTGCTTTGTTTTTAATGTATGTTTAATAATAACTATTTTAATCGTGTGTTTAAACTACAGGTTATGCTCCGGTACTCAATGGCTCACTGGTTGTATGGATGGGTCTATCGGTTATTGATTGCTTTGGCCATTAAGAAGAGACATATCAGGGAAAACATACTTCGGCTTAAATACAAGGATATTAAATATGAGGAGAAATGTCCATTAAATAACATTAAGTTAGAATATACCGACGCTTTCAACGAAAATCTATAATTTATAATTATTTTAAATTATTTAAAGTTTGTAAAAATACTCAACTAATAAATAAGTATAAATAATAAAAGTTAATAGACATTTGTTTTACTAACTATTGATTAAATAAAATTATTTTAAACATAACTATGTAACTATTAATATGCATAAACTAATGAATAACATGACAAAATAATTATCATTTCATATTAGTTATTAAAATTGTAATTAATAATCGGTAAAATTAAATGTGTTTTGTTTAAAATTATATTATATAAATCATTTCATTTTCCCGTAAATCACACAAATTTGTGATCAAAACAATTAATATTAAACAGGTTTTATTCAAATAATAATTATGAAATAAATTGTAATTAATAATCAATGTTCAGTACTTTATTAGAAAGGTTTACATCAAAAAAATTAATTTTTAAACTCAATTTATAAGATCAGTGCTGATGTCTGACAATAATTGTCATTAATAAAAACTGTGACCATTTATCGGGTGGAGGCGACAGTGTTTAGCAAATTCAAATCCTCTGCCAATCTGGTCAACGCTCTTCCCTTCTTGTCCTGATCTCCAACAGCGGCGACCCACGCGTTAATCTGGGGAATACCGGCCACGATGTAGTCCAACATCTATCAAATCAATTAATTAAAATTAGTTATCAATATAAACAATATTGGTGTCAAGCAATGTACTCTTTGGTGCTGAGTGGCCCAGTAGTTACTTCCGGCGGCTTTCAATTGGGGGATAAGGGTCTTGAGTGTGGCCACAACTTTGTCGGTCTCCACCTTCCAGGCGGCCTGACCTCCGGCAACGTTTTGGGTTTTGGTGGGCAAACAGCTGCGTCTCTTGGCGTCTAATTTGGTCCTCCAATTGATGATCTCCGAAGTGCCGGCAAACTTGCCGACCGCCGCCTGCTTCTCGGCCGACGCGATGAACGGGATCTCAGCCATCGCTTTCTTGAACCCTTTCAGGCCGTAGACATTGTTGTAGATGTCGTCGTAAACATCGGGAATGACGGGGAAATTCAAGCTGCGAAGAGCATCGCCCGACGCTTTCATATTGTCTGCCATTTCTTTAATGTTTTGATAGATAAAGTCGAGGATCTTTAGGGAACCGCCCGTCTCCTGGCCTTTGGCGGTGAGGTATGCGACGATGTCTTTGATGTACGCGGCCTGGACTGGGCTGATGGACGCCGAGTCGGGGTGAGCGCACACATCGTAATTCAGGTACTTGGCACGATCCAACTCAACGCATGATGCTATTTAGGCAACAATTATTTCATTTAGTTTATAATGTTTAACATGATTGAATATATTTCTTACCCAAACAGACAATGGATACCAAAACCAATGCT